AAGTACAGTGAAGTATCAGATCTGTGCTCGATGTCAAGGGTGAACTCGTGCGTTACAGATGCATTTGTCTTGATCGCTGATGCTTCTGTTGAGCAGATTCTCTAACTCTCTGCTGTCTGAGCTCCCGTACACCTCCGACAACCGTTTGAAGAAAACTTTTAAACTGCACTCATTTCTTATTAACGAAACCACCAGTTTAGGAAACTTTGGACCTGCATGTTAATAATATGGAAATTGTATTCTGTGAAACAAAAAAGTAAATTCTGTGATCAATTAGCGAAGAATAGATCTTCGCATCAGTATTTCTTTGGGCTGTCATTGCAGCTCTGTTTCTGAATTACATTTGTGCTGCACCTTCTGGCTCTGACTAAAAGAATTACTTTTTTCATGGCAACATTTAACTAGAAAATTGTCGCAAAAGCATATTAAGGAAGAAGGTTCTTACTTCGTGTTCATGTCTAAAGTAGAGATCTTTTTTGTTCCACTGCCAGCTGGGAATTAGTTTAACTCCAACTGTTAGACAGGACAAGGCAGAAAGGAAGATGTTACTGTAAAACAGTTCCAAAGACCTTCTTTAGGGTCCATAGAGATGAAATTGTGACTTGTGGGAGTTGCGTTTTTATGTCAACATTTTATGTCATCCGGTTCTATTTCTCTAAAGTTAAGCAGAAGTAGGGCTGTAACGATACACTCGATACACGATTTTTTGTTCAGATCTTCCACATCAACATCGCTGATAACCACCGCCATATCTTTCTACACATAGTGGCGTAATGCTGTTATGTGATGTTCACTAGTAGGTCACTCACAGGTATATCGCCACCTAGTGTACTGGAGTGTGTAGTTATATCGCCACCTAGTGTACTGGTGTGTTTAGTCTCAGGGTATGACCAGTGACTTTTTGAGACACTCCTTACTGTGCATTGCGATTTTTTTTAAATTGATGCGAATCATCACACATTTAAATCAACTTTTAATCAATTCATGATGCATCGTTACATCCCTAAGCAGAAGAAAACAATCTGCTAAACATGGTCATATAACTGGTATCGACACACTTCAGTGTCATTACTTTTACGTTCACTAACTATAGTAGGTCTTAATGTGTCTGTTCATTTTCTGTAGCCCGTGTCACATTGTGAGTTAATAACTCAGTGAGGCATTATGTCTTTATAATTACTGTCATTTCTTACCATGTTTTCAAAGAACTTGTATCATTAAGGGACTAGGGTTAAGTGTGACATGGATGACGGTCCCTAAAGAGGAAAAGCTGCAGGCTATTCTAAGTAATAAACTGCTGTCAGTTGATTGTGTTGTGTTGTATTGTGTGTGTGTGTGTGTGTGTGTGAATGCATAGTCATGGAGATACATTGTGTCTTTGGGTGGGTTTGTGTGTGAGAGCCTAGCCTCCTCTGCTCTGCTGTGACAGTTATAATGAGTAGCTGCCAGCGCTGGAACTCATTGCACTTGGTGATACAGCAGTTCAGCGTGAGAGTGAGGAGACATAACTAGGCTGCTCACGGGGGAAAAAGTTAAGTCGGCAAAAATGTTGACGGGTGAATGGGATGATTGACCAAGTTTACATTTAACCCTTTGCCTTTGAAAAAGGATTTCTCCTATTACTTTGTGTCTTTGCTTATTACTTTTAGCCAACTTTTAACTATTTTTGTTACATTTTAAGCAGGAAACTGGTGGAATCCAGGTACCTGAGAGGCAATTTTCCATTTCAGGCCGTTTATTCACAGTAAGTCAACTTAAATCAGGCACCTACAAATTAACAAGGCTAGGCAAAGACTGCGGATCACAGTAACAAGCATTAGCAAAGGCTAGAACAGGACACACACACTTCGACACTGAACTGAAATTGACTTAATGAGGGAGAGAGCTATATGTACCCAGGACACCAGGTGACATGAGTGAGACTGATGAACGAGTCCCACGTGAGTGTGATCACATTAATTAACACAGGAGACACAGACAGGAGGGAAAAGAAATGGACAGACCTCACAGTTTTACCTTGATGTGAGCTGTTTCTTTAAAACTTTTAAAAACTCCTAAAAGTTTAGGGTAACAGGTCTTAGCTGCACCATCTCCACCACATTAACTTGCTAAGTTACATTTTTTTAATTTCTGTCAAGCAAAGTCCGGGGTCACTTTAAGTTATCTTTGGCAGTTTTGTTTTCTCTTTAAGCTGCTTTTACAACCCAAACTTAGCTACTCTAGCTAACTTTTAATATATATATATTAGTTTAATTGATTTTTCAGTTATTTAATTTAACCATGTAGCCATGTAGACTCCCACCTTAAAGAGCCTAGTGTGAAATAAAACATTTTTGAACCTATACTATAAATGACATTTAAGTCATTTATGCTACAGAGGCTTAGCTAAACATATTTTTTCCTGTTTTGCTAAGTTTTTTTTATGATCCTAATGTTAGCAGCTGAAACAAATTTAATACACGACTAAGGGTTGGCTTCCCACCTAATAAATAAATAAAACTCCAGACACAGCAGGCTGCGCCGTGTTATTTTCATGCGTGCTAAACTCAAATTTGAAGTGGCAGGTATTTTTAATGACTTTCATTTGTTACAGTGATTGACAGGTGAAGTAAAGCAGGGTACTGAAGCACAACATGCACATAAAGACAGACCCCCTCCTGGGGGACCAACTAGAAATCTAGGCATTTTGTTTCACATAGTGTGAGGTAAAAATGGGGGCAGTGGCTCTTATTTTGAGACTGAGATGAAAAATATCGCCAGAATGTTCATTGACTCAAAGGTAAGTAGTGCCTGTATAATAGCTCTCAGCCCGTGGTTTCGTTGAGCGTGTTGGGTTAAACTGTTTTACATAAGTGGATGTAAAGTGAGCCATCCTACAGCAGCTCAGAGACGAAGTGATGATGTGTAATGTATATTTTGGAATCAGTAGAACACTCATTGTATTTGGTGATATATTTCATGCAGTGAGGCCATCTGAAGAAGATAAGAACTTAAAATAGCTGACATAACTACTTGGTGCTTGACTAAAATTCAATTCCTCTTTCCTCTATTTTCCTATTCTATACAGGCTGCATGTAACACAGTCATAGTATTTCCGGGGTGCATTTATACAGCAATATGTTCAGAACACAAAGTACTGGCCAATAAATAGATCACAAAGGGAGTGCTGGTAATTAAAATTACATAATTAATATATAAATATAATTCTATATTGTATAGTAGTGAATATATATACTGTAAGAAATGTAAGTCATATGGTGCTACGGCGCATTTAATCAGTACCCCAACACATCGTGTTTATATAAAGTATGTTTAGTTTGTTTGAGTGAATATATATTTAATGTTTTCAGTGCAGTAAAATGATATTATTTGAGCCGTTGCACAAGTCACTAATGGTTATTCACTTTGTATTATTCGAAGTCAGTGAGTTAAAGCTAAATCTCAGGGTCACCTTCATGTATACACTCACACCATAAAAACTTTCTGCATCAGCATCTGAAAAAAATAAAAGACTTGAGACTTCTATTTCTTAGTTTTCACAGAGCGAAGAATAATCAAATGTTTCAAAAAGTTTTGAAACTTGTCAAAAACTGGAGAAAGGAGTATTCTTCTTACAGTTTGTAGTATTCTGCATCCATTCATTCATTAGCAAACAACACAGAAAACCTTTTAAAATGTACTATGGTAACAGGTCTGTCTCAAGACACTAGTGAAGACTTTATTCACTCTGAAAGTGAAGTGTCAAGAATACAACTGCTATAGAGTCCTGCAGAGAAATAAACTGTGACATTAGGACAATGTCCCCTTGGTCACTCAAGGGACACGTTAAGGCCAGACTGATATAAAAACTCATTTTCCACTGAAGTGGGTGCAGAAAATCAGATACCATTTAAGTCCGAGGTTTGTATTTTTCCACTGTAGAACTATATGCTCTCTGTGACACGTGAACTGAGTGCACACATTAGCAGGTAAATGGCTGTAGGTTAAGGTAATCTGATTGGCCATTAAAGTAGCATTCACCCAAGGCTTATCTGACATTTTCAGAACCTTCAGATATGAAAGGCAGAGTGACTTTGGTGAGACCGGTTTAGATTTGTCATCCATGTGATGAAATACAAAATATGCCATTTGCAGTAGCATTTCCATTAAATTGTTAATTTGCATTTAAATGTGATGGTTCAAACAATGTCAGGTAGAATGGTAGGCACTTCATCAAACCTGGTTTGGACACCCCTTGTCTAGACCAAGTTGTGGACAGTCAGAAAAGTGCGGAAAATCAGAACTAACCTGACGTCAGTAGCTGACAATACGTGTGTTTGAATATTCGGAACTGAATCTGAGCAGTTTGGTAATGTGAACCAAATACCATAACACAGTGTTTCCAAAACGTTTTTAATTAGGGACCCATATTTTAAAATTCACAAATGTTCACGACCCATGTCAATAGACCTCATTCGTAAACATCTGGGAAACATGATGTGACCTAAAAAAAAACCCTCTTGTGACCCACCTGAGGGTTGCGACCCAGTCTTTGGGAAACAATGCCATAACCAACTGATTTATTCGTTAACTCTTAAAATACCTGCCCTCTCCAAAGAGTACACTGGGTTGACTTGTTGCGTCACAGGTGAGTCACAGGTGAGTCACAGGTTACATGATTTGACTGTGACCTCCCCACAGGCGCAGTTTCTAATAATAAATATTTTGTTTACATCCCTGGTCCTTTGACGTCATATAACAGTCTACTGAGACTCCAAGTCTTTTCAATGTCTGTTTGGACCGTGAAAGTTCTGCACTGGGTCCACAGCTCTACCGATTACAATGCTGTCAAGTTGTATTTGAGCTACACTTCCACTTCTTGAAGGATGGTGGCACCAAAGTTTAGAAATAACTTGAGCTGCGTCTGTGCTGCAGAGCTGGTGCTCTTTGTGGCGACAGCGGCGATGAGAAAGAGAAATGGGGAGTAAAGAAAAAAAGGAGGGGGAGAGAGAGAGAGAGAGAGAGAGAGAGAGAGTTTGTTGCGCTCCGTCACGTGTTGAATACATTAGATTTGCAGGGGAACATCCAGAGCCCTGCCCCGCGCTGTTCCATCTGAATCAGTGCTGCAGCGGTGAGTCTCTGTGAGCGGCCACACGAACAGCAGATACGGAGAAGTTGATAGGAACGACTGGGAAGTTTCAGGAATAGCAAAGTCTTCATTTTCAAGTTAAGTGGAAAGTCCGGCAGTGCAGCAGTGCTGACCGGAGCAGTCACCTTGGAGGAGAACATCAGCTTTTTTACATTTTTCTCTAAGATGGATGTAACTTTGACTGCGGCTTCTGTTTTCGCCAGGGAATAAGACTGAGGAGTTAGGAGGAGCGGAGGAACATATGATTGTGAGTATTTAACTGGAACTGCAGAATTAGATCGGATTCACAGAGCAGCTCTACTCTGTCTAATCTTTCTAAACTTTAACGCTCGCCTCCTCCATCTGCAGCCGTGGTTGGATGTCTGTTAAAGGCATTCACTTTAACCAACATCTGTGCAGATTCATACTAATTAATACTAATTCTCACGTCCGGACTTTGATGTAGTCTTGCATTTGACGTGTGTGAATTATTAGGCTCACGGATCTTCTCTGTCTGACCGCGAGGGACAGTCCTTTTTACATTTTAACAGACATTCCTCCTGACCCACTGAGTCTGTCTGTCCTCAGGGACGCAGGTCGCGCATAATATTAACCCCCCTAGCTTCTATTATAGGCATGATCCATTAAGGAAGGTGTTTATTTTTGTTTGAATTTAACCATTTTTAACCTCCACTGTGCTTCGCCAGCGCCATCTCAACTTGTGTGAGTGATGGTTACAGCGGTGCGTGTGCGTAATTACGCTTCAAAGACACAACACGAGGAGACAAGGAGGAGACGGGGAGATGAGGAGGCTCCTCCTGCCTCATCAGAACAGTAGAGTTCCAAGGTTGTACAACTTCTGTACTTTGTACTTCGCGTGCACATCATCAACAGCAACAGGATGTCAATGGTTTCCCAAAAATATTAGTTTGTTTATTATTGATGGTATTGGCCAAATAACAATCGGTGCAACACATTTACCGAGCAACTAAACAAATAGGTTTAAAATACCTTTTATTATTATTTGTATTTATAAATGTTCATTGAACGTAACCTGTGGCACGTTTGTGTGCACGTTTAAAGCAAATCGATTATTTGTTTGAAAATTAAAATAAATACTTTCCTTTAAAGGTTTTAGTGTGCAATTTTTGTTTGCTGTCACCCTTTGTATCTTATCTTCTAATATATAAAATAATTGTACATTCTGTGAATCCGTCTCACCCAGAGTGAGACTGGAAATATTTATTGACATCATAAATCAAATGTCTGGTGGTTTGAGAACTGTCATTGCTGCTTTTTATGGATAGTTAAAAAAAGCATTATTCACAGAGAAACAACACAGAAGTTGCATTTGTGGCAAATGCTAAAATAGTTGGGCCACCCTAGCTTTCATTTGAATCCAAGGATTATGTCATAAACCCTCCACAGAGTGCATGAAGTAATCATTCCACCAGTCGTCTGTTTGTTGCTTGCATATGGTGCTGATGAAACAAATGTTCTAAAATCCCAAAAAATAGTTGGAAACTAAACAAACTAACTAACTAACTAAAAAAAACCCCAACAACACAGGATTCTCCTGAGAGGACCGTACCAAATCCAGAAAAGAAAGGTTCTTATTGCTAAACACCCCTAGTTGTAGTTTCATCACCTGCAGCACCATCATCAGTCAGTTGAGCATCAGTTCCTGCTCATATGAGTGCTGTGCTGCATAACATCCACCAGTTTTCTCTTTTGTGACCGACTCCATCCACTGAAAAACATCTGTGGACACAGTGAAGTTTGAAAAAAAAAATCCCAACCATCTTCAGAAACATGTGCGTAACTGCACACACATGAACTTTGACCGTACTTGTCATAATGTTGTCCAAACTCTCCTTGCACCCCGGCTACTGTAACTTGATGCACATGTGGTTTTAATGATGCAACCACTTGTAGTGGAAATGCAATATCACGTGGTGCCATCTTCAAAGGCACAAGGTGCGTGGTTTTTTTGTAAATCAGAAACATCTTACACAAACATCTAAAGTAATCCACAGTGTTTTTGTTGTGGAAAACAGTTCTGGCTTGTTGACGCAGACCGTCAGCAGCCTGAGGCCAACTTTAAAAAATGTATAACCAGTGAATTATCACTGTTGTAAAGTTGTGTTCTTGAGTTTGGGAATCACAATTTCATCTTAGCCTCTTTATAGAATTTCCTGCTGTTCATTTTACAAACCCTGGAACCAAACCTTTCAAGTTTTATGCAGAGAAGTTTCGGAAATAAGAAAACTTTTTTTTGCTTATCTTTTAGCCGTATTAGCTTTTCTTTTGTTTTCCATCTTGCCTACCTCTGTTTACGTAAATCTGTATGTAATTTTTGGCCAACTTTTACAATTTTAGAAAGTTATTGGCCATTTTTGGCATTAGCAAGTTTAATTAGCACATTTTATTATTATCAACTGGCGGCTGGCGGGCCTAATCTGGCCCGCTGAACCATCCAATCCAGCCCAGGATTGGATTTTAACATAAACATGAAATAATATTGTACGACAAAAATTTGATTTTTATTTCAATTATTTGAGTGCCGTCCCTCCAGGTGTCTGACAAGATGCCTTCTGACAAATATAGTTGGTGACCCCTGCAGTACATGTTGGCCTCAGATTTAAAGTATTTTAAGCCTTTAATATATTTTCATCGTGAAATATGTGAAAAAACTTAGAGATTCAAAGCCCAACTACAATGATGTGACACTTAGGTTAACTTGTAACAGTACTAGCGCACAATTAGCTTCTTTCAACTACATTTTAGACATTCGTTACATTCAGTACCATGGTGACTTTTAGCAATCTCTGTTTGCTAAAATCTGTTGCCATTTCCTCTTTTTTTCTTAGTTTATTGATGTTATTGTCCGGTGTTATAGTTGTATCTAAAGGTCAGTCAGGGGCTTTTCCTAACTTTTATTACACTCAAGTTTCAAAGACGACATTGAAGATAATGTGACACTTAATTTTCAAGAACCTTAAGATTGTTTTGTAGAAACTGTTTTTGTAATTCTTGCATTACTGTTGTTTATAGCAGTAAAGTCAAACTGCGTACAATTGTAACTTTTTCTTTAACTTTTAGTCGTGTTTTTTTCTTAATTTGTGTGCAGTTTTAGCATTTTGGCTAGGCTTTTTAGCTGATAAGGCAACCCAAACCTTTTGAACCTGCTTCTTTTTAACTAACCTCATATTTTAGCAATTTTTCAGAGTTGGCTATCAGTTTTGTTATATCCGTAGAAAATAATGGCCGTAGAAAATAATGGCCAGTGTGTTTTCCCATTATCCTGTAGTCATGGCCAGGGATCGCGTGCATATTTGAGGCCTGTGATGGCTTTTCCTGCCTTTTTTTTTCTTTTTTTCTTTTTTACATGCCCTGGGACCAGAATTTCAAAGACTAATGCAGAGCGCAGAAACGTGGCACATGAGAGGCAATAGTCTGGCAAACATTCAGAGCTTTAGAGTTTTCTTTGTGCAAAGCCTGTCATCCTCATGTCCAGTCAATCTGCAGTTTTGTCTGTGGTTTCCATTACGGCTCCAGGGAGCCTCAGGCAGCCTGGCATGTTTTTGAAAACCACAGAAGTTTTCTTTGAGTTAACGGGAATCATGAGATGGAATTAGGAGCTCTTTTTACATCATCTTTCATTATAGTTGTCTCTCTTGTTTGAAGTGCATCCATTCAAGCAGTACACCATGTTATTTATTTTTACTAATATTACTATTTGTGCATTTCTATAGATGGCATCCCCTCAATGAGTACCATATGGGATCGTCCCACGTGAAGGTTTATCCTAGTTTACATGAAGGGCATCTTGGGATTCCTACTAATTATACGATGTTCCAAAAACAAACAAATCACGGCAGCCTGATACTTAGATCAGATCAGGAAAGCAGTAAAGTTTCTGTACACACTTTTCCATAATGTGTCGCATGTATGTTGTTTGAGGTATTAGCTCAAGATAAGTCTTTGACATTTATTTGCTGTGAAAGCAGTTCCCAGTTTAGGTTTCCCTCAGATTAAATTACACGACTTGGAGAATGTGATGTGTAGCACATCCAATAAATTATTTGTGATGTGTGACTTTTTTACTCTCTATTGTTTCAAATCACATTTACATTTCATTAGAGGCTTGACATCCTTCTGTGTAATGTGGGTTTCTGTTCAGGGAAGGAGAGGCAGCAGTGTTTGTTGACATGTATTGTCTATTGTAGGTTTTTCCAAACCAAAGGCCAGCTTGTCTTCATAGTGGAATCAAAAAAGATGAATACTACTTCAGAGGGAAAATAAAATATATTACATATTTGGTTCTCATGAAAAAAATTGACAAACATAATCTAGACCACAGTAGGGGGAGAAGAAATGAATCCCTGATGTTCCCAGTGTTTACTGCTGCCCTGGCTTTTTTTTTCTGATTCCAGTCATGCTTGTAAAGAACCCAGAATGATATCCATTATATTCACACAGAGCTTTCATTCTGCATGCAAATTCTGGAAAGTTCTGATTCGTACAGAAGATTTAGTTCAGGGGATTCAAGAGAAACTGGGTTAAGCCAAAGATTAACAATTAGGTGAACACAGTGTTTTATTCTGCATCAAGTCGATACGTGAAGGTAGCCAGAGAAGTACTGTTCTGAGCAGGTTTGATTTAAGCCCCACACAGAGGTCTTATATGTGCGTTTGGGGCACTCAGTAAGAGTTCATTCCCTCTGATTAAGGCTACAAGCCAAAATGCAATTGTCTTACTAAATATTCCCTCTGATTAAGGCTACAATGGAAGGAAAACATCTGGATCCAAGCCAAAATGCAATTGTCTTACTAAAAACAACATTATTAGTCTGCCTGTGGCCAAGTGGGAGAAGAATGGGTTGATAATCACAGGAACCTCGTTCAAATCCCATCTTTGCTGGCTTTGGTTACCACCTCCTGTAAGTGATCACTACTCCCCAGAAATGGTTGCTGGGTTAAATTCAGAGGACACATTTTGTTGTGTTTGTACATGTGTTTGTACATACAATTACAAATACATTCTCCTTTTAGTTCCTTTAGTCTAGCAAGCTATGAAGAAGCTACTTACCAACCAAATATATTATTCTTAATTAAGAAAAAGCAGCAGATGACTCAAGTGGCCAAGTACCTTAGCAATACCTTTTCAATAACCTTAGCTCAACCTAAATTTGCAGGCAAATTTACTGCATAAATTAGGTCAATATTGCAAGAAAAGCATTCCAGTTGAAGCCACAATGAAATAAATACAACTGTCGTCAACCACAGGCTGTTTTCTGCCTCTGGAGTGAGGCTCTATGTACAGGTTGGTTGTCTTTACAACAACTGGCATCAAACCTTGACATTAAAAGTCCCTGGTCAGGTGATAAAGGTTTTTTGTTGTATATTGTGTGACCCTTTTATGTTTGAAGTGGTGAAACATTACTTAACCTCAGAGCTGAACCTTTTTAAACAAGCCTGATATTGTGCAATTAGCCTCGCTGAGAGTCTGCTATATCCATTAAGTTCTGCAGAGGTCCTCCGCTGTAGCTCTACTGGAAAGTGCTTTATTTCACTTATGGCACAAGACCCTGGCCTTGAGAACGATTCTTTGTGCTTCTTAGTACTTCTTAGTAGGTTTTACAGAAAAAAATATTTTTTTGTTAAGTCAAAAGTGCTGTAAATTTTAGCAGAGTCTCTTGCACCCAAATTTCAACTTTCAAGGATCAGAAGACTGTGCAAGGTAACTTTGAAGTGTTTATCATTGCTTGTTCAATGCATTCCTCAGGATGATATGACTGATGATTTAGAAACCAATCCAAAATTATTATTTCCATGTTTACTTGTAGTATGAAAATAATCAAGAAGTTCTGAATTTCTTTACACTTGTGAGGTAATTTAAAGTTTTAAACATTTTCTTTGGTCTCTATTTTGCAGCATTTTAAAGGAAAGTTCTTCACCTTTTTTTTTCACAAATAGCTATTTAGAGTGATGTTATATATTGGATTCAAATCTCAACTTTAATTTTATCTCAACTAACTTTAAGCGCCAGCGACATTAACTCAGCGAGGACCTTGGCCCAAATTAGCTCTGACATTCTCTGCTCTTATTAATGGCCAATGTCTTAATTACAGTTGCACAGAGCCAAACAAAAGAACGTGTTTTATTTCCACCGCACAACTCTGTGAGAGACCCATCACCACACTGTTCAGTGGCACAGGATAAGAAGCATGTCTTATGCACACTTATGTACACAAACATGTTTAGATGTTATGGTAATATCCCCCTGTAAATTTCAATTTAGCCACTGGGGGGAGCCTTCAGGAGTTTGTGGTAAAACCCCAGATCCAACACAATGAGCTTATATAGTTATTCTTGTCAAAAATAAAACTGAAACTGAAATATCTCTGCTTCTCTCTCTCTCTTTCTTACTCTCCCTGTCTGCCTCTCTCTCTGTTGGAACAGTGTAGTTACTCTTCTGGCTCTCAGTATCTGCTGTGGTAATTTGGTATCCTACAGTCCGGGCTCACACACCATTTGTTTCCAGCAATTCAGATTTGCTAGTTCTTGGTTGTTTTAACTACGATTTTGAATGTATTTGCTATTTGTGTTTTTACTTTTTGGTCAACTTGTATGTTTTTTTTCTGTATATTGCTGTACATTTTGAGTAGCTTTTACATATATTACTTATTTTGTCAGTAACCTGATATTAGCTGATTCTGGCAGTTTGTTAATTAGTCAATTCATTTTTACCTGTAACTGTAAACTATATCTACATTGACCATCAATGAAGAGTTTTTAAAAATGTAGACAAAGGTAAAGCTATTTCTGTGCTAGCTTTTTTTACCAATTGGTAACAATATAAAAAATGGTTTTATCTATCTGTAATGAACACTTATTTGTTTATTTAAAATTTGTAGTTACAGCTAAAATGTAGCCGCTTATGCCTTACTTAAATATCTTTACCAAGTGTTGTATGTTTACGGCTAGCCACTGCTCTAAGAAATATATCCATAAAATTATATTTAAACATATATTTGCATAATTACAATGGGTCGAGACAGATCTCTACCTTGTTGGAAGCATGGTTGTGTTGTTCAAGCATTTTAAAGGTGTTTTCTTTCCTAAAGCATTTTTAGCAAACCTTGAAAACACATTAAAATTTAAGCCCCTTCAAGGATCTTAAACACAGTTACAAACCCTACACATTTTACATAATGTAGCTACTAAGTGTTAAAAGAAAACATCTCATTCCAGTGGTACTACGTGCAATAGCAGCATGAACAAATATTATCCGGGGTCCTACTCCCCACTTAATGGAATGCTGCTTTCAGGGAACACCTCCTGCACGCTGACAACAGCGATTCCTGCACCTTCGAAATTGGAACACAGTCTCATCAGTCAAAGCCATCTTGTCCGGGGTAGTACAATGAATCCTGTGGTTTTGGTGTTTTCCTACAGGGGGGTGGGGTTGTGGTATAAAGCAGAAGCAAGGTGTTGACTTATTAGGTGAACCCAAAAGTGTAGGAAAATGTTACATGCTGGGCTTATTGTACATTCTGCGGTTGGGAGGAGAGCCATCAAGACATATGTGAAAGTATTTAGGGCTTATACTCTTATACTTCTTAAACAAACTTGGTCCTTATGCAGGAATAATACACCTTTTCTTAGTATCCACCATTGTTGGATTTCAACGTTGCTTAGCTTTTTTCTTTTTGTGTGTTTCCAGGTTTAAATAATAGGAGCCAAAATGAGGACCACTGCCAAGGGTTTGGGGAAGTCTACAATGGACTCTTCAAATATTGCAAGTTTGTGGAACCGAAGGATGGTGCTCATGATGTATGTGTTCTTAGAGCTTGCAATTGTCCACTCAAACATAGTCCTTGGAACACTTGAGCTACAGCTAGATGAAGAACAACCAGCAGGCACAATAGTGGGTGATATCAGTGCTGGCCTTCCTCCAGGTGTCACAGCATCCCTGTACTTCATCTCGGACCATGAGGGAACAGGCGTGGGCACTGACTTGGACATAGATGAGAGCACAGGCATTATTAAAACGTCAAAAGTTCTTGACAGAGAACTAAGAGATCGGTACAACTTCATAGCTGTCACCATGACAGGTGTGACCGTGGAGGTGACCATCAAGGTTAATGACATAAATGATCATGCCCCCAAATTCTTAAGGAAACGAGCAATGTTTACAATCCCTGAGCATACAGCAATTGGAACCAGGTTTCCTCTTGATCCTGCTGTAGATGCAGATAAAGGGCAGTTTGCTACGCAGGGCTACCTTATTAAAGATGGAAATGTTGGCCAGGCCTTTACCTTGGAAACCAGGAGAGGAAGCAATGAGGTTCTCTATCTAGATTTGGTGGTCAATGGCATACTAGATAGGGAGAAAAGATCTACCTACGTTTTATCCTTGGAAGCCTTTGATGGTGGTTTTCCTAAAAGAACTGATCAGATGAGCTTGGAAATTACTGTACAAGACATTAACGACAACGCTCCTGTTTTTAATCAGAGCCGCTATCATGCTATAATATCTGAGAACCTCCAACCTGGAAGCAACATCCTGCAGGTGTTTGCCACAGATGCTGATGAAGGGGTCAATGGAGTGGTGCTATACGAGATTAACAGAAGACAGAGTGACCTGGACCGATATTTTGTCATTGATTCTCACAGTGGCATCATCACACTTAACAAACCACTGGACTTTGAAAAGAGAAGAGTCCACGAGCTGGTTGTTCAGGCACAAGACAATGCAACTCATCCGGAGGTCACCAATGCCTTTGTCACCATCCACGTCAGAGACTACAACGACAACCAGCCCACCATGACCATCATTTTTCTAAGTGAAGATGGGTCGCCCAAAATTTCAGAAGGTGCACAACCAGGCCAGTATGTTGCCAGGATCTCAGTCACTGACCCTGACTACGGAGAGTATGCCAATGTTAATGTTTCGCTTGAGGGAGGAGATGGAAAGTTTGCTCTAACCACTAAGGATAGTATTATTTATTTGATTTGTGTGGACCAAATTCTGGACCGAGAGGAGAGAGACATCTATGAGCTGAGGGTAATGGCAACAGACTCGGGAACACCTCCTCTCAGAGCTGAGTCTTCGTTCACTATTGAGGTGATGGACGTCAATGACAACCCTCCTCTGTTTGACCAGGCGGTTTACAGACAGCTCATTCCTGAAGTGGTGTTTCCAGGAAGCTTTGTGTTACAGGTGACTGCTCGAGACAAAGATCAGGGGCCCAATGGGGACATTACCTACAGCATTCTGCAAGGCCAAGGCAAGTACTCTGACTGGTTCAGTATGGACGCCATTACGGGGATCATCACCACTCTTTCTTATCTGGATTATGAAAAAAACCCCAATCCGAGTATAACTGTTGTAGCCCAAGACAGAGGGAAACCACCGCTGTCCTCCACGGCTGTGGTTAACATTGTGCTTCAGGATGTTAACGACAACGAGCCTGTTTTTGAGAAAAACTTTTACAACGTCTCAATCAAAGAGAACATGGTTCCAGGCACCTGCATCCTCCAGGTAGGAGATTTACTTTTTTTCAAATTGATTCTGTTACCACACTCTCACACACTATTACTTCACTTATGTACCAGTCTAAACTCTTTCACGGGTCAACTGTGAGAGGCATTATGAATGTAATTTACGAGACAAATAATGGCGATCATTTTATGGTAAAGTTATTTATGCTGGACAGCCTTCCTGAGGATTTACCTGTGTTTTTCAGCCAAGATGATCTCCTCTCTTTGGCTGTCCTGCCTTTAACCTCTCAAAGGGTTTCCAGGGTAACACAGGCAGTGTGAAGTCCTCCGTCAGCCAGGACACAAAAGCCTTTTTCACAAATTTGCAGGCAGAGACAAATTCAATGCTTTATCCAAAGAAATAGATGTCACTTAAATCTGAAAAGGCACCCTAATCAGGCTAGTTGAGCGTGAGAAAAAATGGCTACAGACGACAAGATGAATTAAAGTACGGACAAATTACAGCCCCCTCCTGCCCCCCGTATGACTTTAACCTTCCTTATAAGAATATATTGTGTCCTCTGGAGGATTTTAGCCAACTATTTAAAAGGACAGTACCAACTAAAAGTCAGCTCCTCTGCTAGTCAAGTACTTTTTTATCTTATTGAAAGTAGTTTTATTTTTGTCACACAAATGATAATCTGCAAGTTTTAAAGCTCTCTTTTTTCGACCATGAAAAGGTCTTTACAAATTCTACTCCACAAGCGCCTGTAGGATGAAGGAGTTGGATACAAAATGCAGTCCAAACAGAGCGCCCATCAGACAGGATTTTGGCCCAGACCTTAGCCTTGAAAGGGAGGGGTGAATGGAGATGTGGGCTTACAGCAAGACTCCTGGGTTGAATTCGGAAAAAGAATCTATGAGGGCTTCTAAATGGGAGGTCTCTGTATTATAAATCATAGGAAGCACACACAGATTGAAATTGACTGCTGAATTTGGAAAGTGGGACAGAGAATACAAAAATATAGTTTTGGAAAACGGTGACGCTCTGCAGTTCCTTTTTGTCAAAGTTGGTTGAAGTTCTTGTTCTGGGAAAACTATCTGAAACCCCATGCTTTTCCTGAACTGGAACTGATCTGACTCTCCCTCTCCCTGTACTGCTGAAAAAAAGCAGTACTACCTGTGTTCAAACTCTCTTAGACTATGACATGTTTGATCAGTGGCCTCCCTGAATCCAGTGAAGAAGTATTTCTTCAAAGACACAGTACTTTTGCCCCTCCTGAGCCTGTCCTGGATACTGCAGACGAGAGTTTGGCGAGCCATGTGAGAACAGGCTGCTCTTAGTCGGGGTGCCAGTTCTTCATCCAAACATCTCAGCAAGACATCTGATATTTGCCTTTATTTCTCTCACTAATTCTCCACTATTCATTACAGTGTCCAAAAACCAATACAATAGTGGTTTTGTAATCACAGATGCAAAGGTTTTAAGTGGTTGGATTATTTTTTTTGTATCTCTGTAGGACGCCAACTCAGCAGCTCATAATTATTCCAATGTAGTTAAGCTACACAGGCAGACTTTGGTAGGTTTTTAGCTGTGCTGCACATCATTTTTAATAGATCATATAACGATTACTGTTGCATGTGTGTGTGGGATTACGAACATTCACAATTTTCCCTTGCACGTTTTGTTTGATCTAATACAAAGAAAGTGGATGTCAGATACCACATGTAGAGATCCAAAAGTATCAACAAACTTCATTTTGGTTTCCTTCTATATTTCTAATTCAGATCTCCATTTTCCACTGGAACTTTTGAATGCTCACACTCCATTTATATTTTTGTTTTGTCAGATCTTTTGTTACATCTTGTTATAAGAAAAACATTTCTAAAAGGTCATTGTTTTTGGTCATTAGCCTTGGATGTTTGACACATAAGAGGAAACATAATAATATAATAATAATGTCATTATGAATAATGAGAAACATCGATCTTTACCCTTCAGAGCAATCAATAGATTATTCTCCTGTGTTTTCAGGTTTCCATAGAGTCACATCCCTATTTTACACATCATAAGCTCGTGGGTTTTATTTAGTTTGGTGGGGGTCTATGGTAAGAATTGTGCCTCTGTCTGTTTCAGGGGGTTTCATTGTTCAAGCTTCACCAGAAAAGTGAGAGGGGGTCTCTGGACAGCTAAGGGGGAAATGAGCCATGACAAGAGCTGGCATTAGTGATGGAGGTGACATAAGCAGGGGGGCTTCCTGGTCCGTCTGCTAGTCTTCCCTTCCCCAAATTCTTATCTGATTTCACTTCATAAAACCAGAGTGTTCCATTAGGTCAGGGCTACTTTTTAAAGACACCCCATCCCCCCTCCCCAGTTCGTGACAGAATGGATTCCTTTTCCTTTCTGCAGCCACTTTACCAACACGAGACAAGCACTGATTGCTGTGGGTAGAGAAGCAAACATTATGTCATATTTCCCTTAGTCTTTTTTTCTTATTCCAAAGTTTAAATGTCAGTTCTAACCATATTTAAAATCTGAAAATGAAAAAAAGTGTAATTATCAAGTTTCATACTTACGTACTTATGGTACACTCTAGTACAATTGGGTCTCTTTTCTTTTTAAATTAACTTTTGATTACGTCTTTCCATCTTCCAATATGTGTGTATATATATATATATATATATATATATATATATACATATATATATATATATTCAAAGTAAATCAAATACAAAAATAGATCAAAAATAAATATTGAATTGTTTTGTTTTTTTAAAGTAACTTCTCAGCTGTGGACTCAAAGGTAGAAAAAAGATCTTTCCTGGTAGGTGGTTGGCAGGTACAACGGTTCAAGGGCCAGGTCTTTAAACTGAATAAAGTAAAAATCACTAGGCTAAGTCAAAAACAGGTTACAAAAATAGAGGCAGATCCTGTATGCAGGCTTCCATAGGAGAGACAGATTGGGTAGAGGGAAGTGGTGGGAATTATAAGAGAAGGAGGAGAAGACACAGGTGGGAACAGTTGGGTAATCGACTTGGAGGAAAACACAGGAGGCAAGAGCAGGTGAATGAGGGAGTGTGAACACGGAGGGAAATGGAGCGTCTGGGGGAAGAGAGAAGAGGTGACACATAGGACGGAAACAAAAGCATGAGATAACTGATAATGAAAATAACTCGGTTGGTATGACAGTGGACTATCTACTGTTCAATAAACCAAACTCTTGTCTAATTGACATCCACTTTCCCTGAAAATCCCATTACATCACATAGGACTGTAGTGCTCTGTGTGCACCTACACTATGATCCTGCTCATCTTGTATTCCAGATGATAGGCAAAGTATTAATGACACATACGGTACCACTCCACTGCCTCACGTAGTCATTATTTCACTGAATTCTTTATAGGCAGCTTAGTTGAAAGAAATGAAGTGTAACCCAGAATCCTCTCTGCCATCAAGCTCACAGCTCTGTCTTTGGAGAGAATATGATACGAATGACAGATTCACGTTTTCTTTTCCTGTGTTTTTATAGTATAGTGACCACCAACTGGTAAGTGCTGAAAAAAAAAAATCAAGTAATTCTAATAATGTCTTTGAACACGATGCAAATGTGGCTGCAGGGTTCACTACATTCATTATAGTATGTTTGCAAAAATACTTGATTTAAAGTTCAAGCAGAATAAACACATTCCTTGTTCCAAACAACCTTACTTGGTAATGTTGACTACACAGCAGGAGAGATGTAAAGATGTTTTCTCCGTATCCTAACGAGAATCATCATCATCTAAAATGATATTTCATGTTGTTCAGTCTCCTACTCAAACGGAAAGTTTCTTCTCTAACGACTTGAACTCCTCCTAAATTCCAGCCTCATTTCCCAATAGTACCATATGTAAGCTCATTTAGACTGAAACCTGAGACACATTTGGGTGAAAGTTATACATTATGCTGTATTGGTTTAGTGATTAAAAATGACATCAGTCTCCGTCACTCATACAGTATATACATCACTACTATTTCTTAAAAAATACACTTCTCCCATGGACAATTCCCACTATGACTTAAGTAAGACTAACTTCAGAGAGGAGTAACATTTACTAAGGTTTTTTTTCTAACTTTTTTTGCCTAAATATCAAACAGTATTTTGTTACATTTTACAACATAGAATTGAGGCAATCTCTTTGCATTTGATCACTTGGTAACTATGAAGCACTGTGGCATAGTATCATAATTGTTTGTAAATGTGTTTGCAAAAGTCACACTTTATTAAACATTTACTCCTGAGCTGAGCATCGACACTGTTGTAGCTCTCCTCAGTGTTTAATGTAACTTGGCTTTAAACAACTCAGTGCATTTTATCGTGTTCAAACATCTCTAATTGAATCCGCTGCCACTTCATTTTCAGCAGAGTAAGCTTGGAGCCGAAAGGTGAAAAGCGCAGCTTCGTTAGATTAACAGGGTATTGTGTGGTTGTTAGCCTGTTGGTGGTGCTCAATAAACACACACTGTTCAATAAACTAAACATGGTATATTTTTCTATATATAGTCCTGTAGTGGTGCTTTGGCCCAGAGGCAATGTCTCTGTCATTTGTGTAGAACCCAGGGTTAACTTCCTGGGCAAGATCGAGATTTTATACCTATGATGGATTTTTTTTTCTCCCATACGTCCAAGGAGAAATCTCATTTCCATACCGTCTGTCTCTCTGTATGTTGTCATGTCTGCCTGCTGCAGGTGACACATCAGTCTCTTCCTGTGACTGTCTTTGTATTTTCCTATACTCCTAAACTCCATTCATTCAGAGTTCTAATCACTTTCCTCTTTCCCACACTGCTCTTTTCCCAGTGGGATGTAATGACAGCTCTTCATTTGGCTTTTTCCCTGCAGAGTGGTGACATGTGGATTTAAGCAGGAGAAAGCAGCACATCACTGTATCAGGGGACGCTCGGCCTGTTTGCAGGTGTACATACACACTTCCTTATGAGTCTCAGTCTGACCAAGCCCAGGCTTAACCAATTTTCTGATGCAAGAAAAGTGTTGGTTCGAATTACCAGCAGAGTGAAG